CAACTACAGATACTGCTACTGTTGGTTTGAGCAGTATCATCTTACCTGAAATTTAAGAATCCCAAACACCCAATTCCATAGTTAAGTAGTTTGAAATGCCACTGCACCAGTTTCCTTCACAGTAGTCTTGTGATGATGCATACAGCTGGCGAGCCATTAAGTTTCTTGGTAGTCCTGATATTCAAGTTTTATGGTGCTCTAAAATCATGAGATGGTTACTTATGCCCTCTAATTTAAGATTTTAAGGATTATGATAGTTCATGGCTTATTTTCTAAATTGGCATTTCATTACATCTTAAATAAGAGATTGTAATGTACTAGAACAGAAAACAATGCATTCACACATCATGGTAACTCAAATTTCTTCAGAATTGTCTCACCAGGGACTAAGCAATATGCAAACTGGTCTAATCTTTTCTGTCAGCAGGACAGCTATCAGGCAGAGATAGATCTGTCTGTGGTTTGTTACTTGCATCATCCAAGCCACAGTCTGAAGTTTATTTTAACTCAGATTTAAGTAGCTTCTATTGAGAGTCTTTCTAATTTTGAACACATACTTTGAAAATCTGACTTGAATATTGATTAATATCAAGAAGTTGTGAATGATCATCTGTAACATGTTAACTGATATTTCACTAAAAATTCTTTAAGTGTCCTATTTTCATGGTTCAAAAAGAAAAAAACTAAAGAAAAAGTTTAAATGACCCACTGGCATTGTAAGGAAGTCAGGCCAACCTTAACCTGAGGTACAGTGAATCAGCTCCCTCAGTTAACAGATGCCTTACGTTGAAGGACAGATTTGAATGTTTCATGTGAGATTTCCTTATGCTCCCCATGCTAGTTTCTTGAACTCTGGTATGGTGGTAGACCCAGTTCTTCACCAGTCAGTCTAGTTGGCTTCTATGTGGGAAGGGGGTAGACATAGCTTCTTTCTCCTAGTCTCAGGCAGCCAGTGGAAGCAGTTTGGGGAATGGAACTATTGAACCATTAACATTAAATGGAATGTGGGTAAATTCATATAAACAGAACATTCATAGAATAACTGCTTTGGAAGTTTATATGGATCAACCTGTTTGTTCATTTAAGAAAGAAGAGCACAATCTATAGCAGAGACTCTCTAAAAATTTCTGATGAGCTGGAATGCTTAATGAGACAGAAGACAGGGAATTCTAAAATATATGGGGACTGACATAATACCTGGGCTCTAGTATGCTGCTGTCCATATAGCTTGGACTGCAAAATTAAAAGAACCAGGATTGGTGATTCCTTCAGCTCAGATTCCAACATCATGGTAAGTACATTCTCTGGTTGCACAGTGTTTTGGTTACTCTATACTCTGCGTTTGTTTCTTATTAGTGTTGACTACTAAAAGAAGAACAACTTCCTCCTCCTCCTTCTGTTATTGTTATCCTTGAAACTCTGAGTCAAGTGATTGATTGTTTTAACCTGTTAATCATTCAGGGGCAATAGCCAATAAAGAGTTAGAGATTTTTGTGTCCCTTGACTCCTGTCTAGTGGTCATCCAGTTTTCTGCAGCCACTGGATAAGTACTGTTGAAGAGCTGGAGTTTGAGGAAGGGATTTAGCTATGCAGATTGGTATGGGAACTATAAACTTCTCTGAGCATATTACATAAGAAGAGGAAGTAAGGAGCCAGGGGTCCTGAGAGAAATGACCATTGGGAAGGGAATTTCTTGCCAGAGAGGCTACAGAGGTACAAGAAATGAGTCTTTTCAATTACACTCAAATTACATGCATTAAACCAAGGACAAGTTAGTCAACTTCAGGACTTTACACTGCAGAGCAAAGGGAAAACCAACCCATCCGTATGTATGTATGTATATATGTATGTATGTATGTATGTGAGTGAGTGAGTGAGTGAGTGAGTGAGTGAGTGGCTGGGGAAGCCAGAGTTCCAGTCTTCCTCACAGCCAAAAGAGGATTAAGGGTCTCAGGGACTAGATGGAAGGGGGTGGTCCCATAGGAAAGCAGCAAAATCAGTTGGAGCCACAAGTGTGCTGATATGGGTACATAGTTCAGGCCACCTCCATCATGTGTGCTACAGGTTGACAATAAGATGCAGATGATGGCATGTGGACACATCCTCTTGAAATGGTTAATGGACCGTCCTGGTGCCTAAGCAAGAAGGCTGTGTGGTTGCTCAAAGATATCTTCTGAAGAGATATGATTCCATTGCTAGTGCCATCTAACCCATAACAGAGCTTTGTGATCCATATCTAACTTTATAAAGCCCTGAATACTTTGATGTTTCTCTGCTCCTGTCTTAGTTTTTGTGTAAGGGATTCAGTATTTATCTCTTGAAAGATAATGGAATAAAAGTTATATCTTATTTCTTGCAATCATAGGTAGATAAATAGATTTACTATTTATTTTAAGGATCCATGCTCTATACCACTTTTCCTTTTTAGATAAATCTCATTCCCATTTTTCATAACGGAGAAATTGTGACATACAATTCATAACAAATGTCATTGCCTTGAATACGTCAGGAGATGAAAAATAAATGTAGACTTAGGTAGAAGATTAATGGCTATATCAATTTTTATTCTTATTTCCAAGACACAGACCATGAGCAATATTGTGATCAGGATTCCTAATTGCTGAGACAAGGTTTTATAATATGAGGTGTGAGTAGCCACTATGCAAACTGATTAGTAAAGGCATATAGTGGGACTTGCCAGAGTCCTATCTCCTCATCCCTTTACTATATTGATGCAGTTCCATGAACAAGTCTGATGAATAGAGAATATGATTAGGATATGACCCTTCACCATGAAGGATGAACAATCTTTTAAAGAAGACAAAAGTTGCATAAATCAAGAATGCTTCTCTGTTCCATAACCAGTCCCTTTATTAGCAGATTGTTTAAAATCATGAGGACATTGTTGTCTTGGCTGTTCTTTCGCATCCTGCTAGATTTTTGCGAAGTTAAGGAGATGAGTAATAATATATATCATTTTTTCGTCATTCGAGGAAACACAGAAATAAAATGTGTTTGAAGAAGGAAGACTAGTTTTTCATGCTGGCCATTCTAAGTCCCATTAGTAATGAGAAGTATTTTTGTGCATTTAATTGACTTACTTTTCTATTACCAATTTCTTTATACTACCTCTAATATTAATCAGATGCAAAGAGGCATATTTGATTTTTATGTAGATTTTTATTAACTCTCCTTGGCTTTACTATTTTAAAAGCACATTTCATTCTCACTTTTGAAAAGCAGTTATTATCAGTGATTTTTCAAGCCTAGGTACCTTTGTAATGGTTATTTTAAAAAATCAGCAATGGTTTTATAAACGAAATCAGTTTACAGAATCTTAAAAGACCTATAAATGTAAAGTATTCCTGAATCGAAGGCACTGAATATATTTGATTGTATGTGAATGTATTTGTCAGAGCAGGATTCCCCCCCCCCCATTTAATTGAATGGAATTACTTGGGGGGGAGAATCTTCCTCTCTTGAATCTTCCTTGTTTCTGTACTTTCCTTCTTAGTGTGTTCCCTCTAATATTCTCTTTAGTCCTCTTTAGTTTTCTTTACCTCACTCTTCCTCTCTTTGTCTTAGCTGTTTCCATTTTCTCTCCCTTTCTGTTTTTTTCTGCGTTTGCATTTTCTCTGTCTATGAGAGAACCTAGATAGGTTGATTTTGTGATTGGCTATATACACCTCCTGTTTATGACTGCATCTGCAACACTTTCTAAAATTTCAGATGTCAAAAAATTGGGGATCTCTGCTTAGACATTTGGAGTAAGAAAATGTGAGGCTTGATTAGCTTTTATCCAGGGCATCTGAATAAGATTGGAAGTTCTACCCAGCCAGTGTTTTAGATAAAATTTAGAAGGTTTTTCCCCCCCTACATTTTTATTAAGACTAACTGCAAATAATTTGGGTTCAAAAGAAACAAATGGCCACAGTTACTTTGGGGGGAAATGAAACTTCCTTGTTTTTTCCAACAAAATAATGAATTGTTAGATAGTTCAGATAATTATGGTATGGTTTACATTGAATGTACATTAGTGGGAAATAATCTGATTCTGTTTCATTCTTACTACAGTTTAAGTAAACCAGTGTTACCTAAGTTCTGATATAGCAGGGAAATATGATTTCATTATAGAACTATAGTTTTTCCTCAGATTGTTGTCTTTCTGAAGATCGCATTTTAATTTAGCATGGATACAACATCATATTTTAGAGAACTTGGAGAACAAAGACACTTAAGGCATATTTTATTGTGAGTTCCAAGTAGTTAATGAAAATAGTTTTAGGCAGTTTATAAGTAGAAGAGCAGCATAAATCCATTTAAAATAAATAATGAACAGAAATGCATAGGTTAACAACTTTCATTTACCATCAATTCCTTGGAATACATTATTTATGTACAGTACATTGTTTTATTGTGTTTTAATTAGTATTTTTTCTTGTTTTATTGTAAACCACCCAGAGTTGCTCCTTGAGTGAGATGGGTGGTGACAAAATTTGAAATATAAATAAATAAATAATAATATTTTCTTTTACTGCCAATATCACATTTTATGCTTGCATGACCTGATATATACTTTTTCATAAGTGTACAATGTGTCTCTCTTATCTGTACTAATTTGGCCTCAGTGTGTAAGCTTCCTGTTCCTTCAGTAAACGCAGAGAAGGAAGTTTGTGGCACAAATGGTTATTGGCAGAAAGGAATATGACTGGCTACACCTGAAGTATCCGTTGGTTCTTTTTTGTCAGCTGCTTATTGTCTGTTGTATTTTGAATTGTCTGTTGTATTTTCCTCCAAACATGCACACATTTATTATCTCCTAGAATTTCTCCATTTTTAATATATGACCTATAGGGGTTCTTCATGTTACATATGATGTTGGTTCCAAGCAATAGAATTTATTTAGAAGTTATCTTCAAAGATGTTAAAAACTACAAGGGGCTTGACCTTGAGGTTTAAGATGCATTTTTTTTTTTCTAATTCATCTGTGACTTTTCTAGGTTGACTGGCACCAACTGGACTATCTGGTAATTGACATGCCACCAGGGACAGGAGATATTCAACTGTCAATCTCACAGAATATTCCAGTTGCAGGTATCTTTAGTAGTTTTGCTTTGTATTTTAAGCAGTGCAACTGGGAGCATTTGGATTACATGGCTGGAGACAAAGGTTTGGAATCTATAAGGTGCTCCTCTTTCCTAAATGTTGTATTTGCTCACCATAATCTATGATTTTTAGGGTTTTAAAAACCACTGTAGTCCAATAATGTATTTGGGGTAGATGAAGCTATCACTCCTTGTTCAGTTCACATACCATCCCAAACATATTCCTAATAACAGATTTTTAGCTACACTACTTGGCATGGGGGGAGCTGTAAAGTGTATTCATGTCTAAATTATAGACATAAATGTCTGTGGGAAGCTTGCAAAGAGGATATGAGTGCTGTAGCACTTTACTACTCTTTCTGAAAATGTTTTGTTAGAAATATTAGAAAAAGAGGAACAAATCTTTGTATCTAAGAGAGAGAGAGAGAGAGAGAATCTCCCCTCTCACCCCTATGGGTGGTATGTGTCTTCCTCAATTTCAGGTCCTCTACTGGACTGGGAGTTTGAGGGTCCTGCACAGTATCTTAACTGCTCCTAGCACTGCACTCTTCTAGACAGAGAGCTCTGATGTTGTTCCTGGGATCTGTGGGAGCCACTCTCCTAGCTTAGGAGTCACAGCCCCGAGTGTTCCTACCACCACTGGGACCACTTT